AAGACATGTTCAAAAAAGCTGCTTATAAGTGGATGTATTCCTATGTTAATTACCAAGTTTGTGCCGTCTGTTTGCTGTGGCACATAAGCCTCCGCAGCAGATCCTCGTTGATGGGAAGGCCACTCCGCTTCTTCGTCTTCATCATCGTAACCAGCCACTTCCTGAAGGCGGTGGTGCTCATGGGCGGTCGGCACGCACACCAGATTTCAGCACGAACGCTGTTATTCTGCGGCCAATTGTGCCCCTCTGGTAAGGAGCACCATCGGACTTCAGGAAGAGCTTCCCGGAGTCCGACAAGTCCGCACACACCACTGGCCTGAGCTTGGTAACAAAAACCTCCAAATTCTTTGCTATCTCCTTACTGCATGGAATCGGTGCAGGGCCGTCCACTTTACGTTTGTGACTCGTCACAAATAGAACTTTTGTTCCATAATTTGCATCCCATTGGGCAACCTTCCGCTGACCAATGGATGCCATCTCCAACGTGCCGGGACACGTTCCAACACTACGGGTGAGTGGCATGATGAGGTAGTCCCTTGTGCCGCATACTGGGCGACGGTAAGGTTTTGTGTGTCAGTGCACCTCTCCGCGGAGAACAGTGCCCTCTGGCTCTCTACTGCTGGTCACAAAGTCATTATTTCATGAACCTCAGGTGTTGTGAGCATCTTGTAATGATAGTAATCATAATAATAAAGACATTATTCATCCAGGTTAGCACGTAACAGCCAAATGCTAATAAACTTGGAGCAAATAGCATTGAAATTAGCGTACCTCTCCGTTTCCTGCAAGATCTTGGAGAACCGTGCACTTGAAGTCTCCTTTGTTATACTGCGTCACCAGCCCTTCATGGCGAGCATCTCTTCTAATATCTCCAGGGTTGGTTTGGAGATGGTGGGCACGCCAACTCTCTGCTTCCTGTGGACAAGGAAGTGGAGGAACATCTGGAGCGAGTTGAGGTAGCTCTTCAGGGTTCCAGCTGCCTTCTTGCCTAGAATGGGCACAACCCAATCGAGCCAAACTTTGCAGCCATCCTCCTGAGAGAGCACCTCAACGTCGCTGCCAGCTGGCTCCAGCTCCTCCAACAATCTGTGCACCTGGGATGCATGGTGCAGGCTAAAACAAAAGTGAAATGAAAGAGTGAATCTTTACTTGGTTTGAACACAAAAACCACTTATGAAGAGGAATGAGAATACAGAATTGGCATGATTGGAAATGTACATACATACCAGTTCTTATCCTGATGATATCCTGCCACAGGCATAGCAAGGTGTCTGTAAAAGCCCGCCAGCCATTGATGGTTAGAAAACCAACACCAATCGGTTCCTTACTACCTGCACAAACATTATTGAACACTAAAAAGAGGTCCTCGGTACTATTAAGAGGGCCTCTAATAACATCAAGATTGTCGTTGCACCCTTAAAGTTCAAGCAAAGCCTGCGCAGAAGCGTCCGTTTCCTATGCGAGGAAAATGTTTTAGGAGGGTGCCCGAGCACCTTAGAAACGTCTTCCAATAAGTGAACGGCCTCGAAAAGGTAAAAAAACCGGAGCAGAAAAAGTGTGTACTTACAGCTTTAAAGTTTGGCTGAAGTGACGTAATGTAGGTCCGCAACACGCATTTACACTTAACACCGGGCAAAAAGTGAGAGATAGCTTCAACTTTGACAAAGTGTGGACACGTGGTTTTTCATTCAAACAACTCGAAACTTACAGTCATGACAGAACAGTTTTTTTTGCCTCTCTTGTGATAGTCCTAAATTTAAAAGATGTTGATTGACATCTGTCAATTAGGGTTGCCTCCTGTCAATTTTCACAGGGAACAATACATCATTCTATGTTCTGTTTAAGTAAAATTAGGTCAAAGCAATAATTTTATAATTTTTTTTAGAGATTTTCAAAGGTCTATGAGTTAGGCAAAAATATCATAATTGTGAGATGGACAGGAACTCACTCAATCTACTTTAACTCAATAACCCTCATTCTTCCAGTATTCAAACTTAGCAGGCGTTTAGTACTGGAACTGTTGTAGTGTATCTGTAAGTATCAAGTTAATAGAGACATTTAGCACCAGGGTTTTTGCATTAACGGCAGACCTCAAACGGCAGTTCCAGGTTAGGCGTTTGGCGTTTGACGTTTGGTGTTTGACGTTTATGGCTTCTACCACTTTAGCTACACTTCTCCAACCTCAAGCAAATTTACGTAGAAAACTAGCGAATTATGGGAACTTCCAGAAAATGGCGGCTGCTGCAACGTTAGTTTTTCTAAGCTGATGTATTTCAGGATTTTTTGGAGTTCTCAAACCTTCATTTATCTGTAAAAAAGAAATAAATGTTTTATTCTCCATTTCTAAGGCATGATTTTGAGGACATCCTTGCTGTAGCTCTGGCCTATGACAGCAGTTCTTCAGATGTTTCCAGCGATGAAGACGACCTGGATGTTCTTCTAGTCCATGCCATGTTCCCTGAAACTAGCAAACCCGACTATATACGGCTCAATTTGGAAGACTTGACTGAAATTCAGTGTGAGACGATGTTTAGGTTGGTTTTTTTTCCCCAATTTTGGACACGATGGCCTTTTGTTGAATTTCAAATTAAAAAACATTAACTTCATTGACAGGTTCCAAAAACACGACATGCAACGCCTCCTGACTGCATTGGAAATCCCAGAGTATTACATTTGGGTTCAGCGAACACACGCAACTGGGATGGAGGCCTTAATGATCTTACTCAGGAGATAGGTCTACCCAGCAAGATGGTGCGATCTGGTACTCTTTTTCGGAAGGTCTGGGTCTGAGCTCAGTGTAATATTTAACGCGGTATGTTTTCATGTAATATTAAGTTATTTTGGAATTAAAGACAAATAACATGCGCAATAAATTGACTAAATGAATATTTGCATTTCTTGATAATGGATGACCTCTATGACCGGTTTCAACACATACTCGATTCGTTAGATCTAGTGTGGTTGGACCCCGAGTTTTTCTCTCAAGTCATAAACAATAAAGGAGCACCGCCCAATCAGTGCTGGGATTTTATTGATGGGACTGCGAGACCTATTGCACGCCCCGTCCACAATCAGCGCATCATGTTCAGTGGACATAAAAGGATACATTGCTTGAAATTTCAGCCGAGTATTATCCCCGTTCTTTAATTCGGTCGGATGCATCTTAAAAATTCCTAAGAAACCTTAATTACTCCCCACCCCCTTCCAGTCTTGGTTAAGGCACCTTAGTCATTTAATTAAGCCTCTACCCTCCCCCCCCACACACACACACACACACGCACGCACACGCGTACACCTCCTGAGAATGTCATTTTTCTAATAGAGTCAAGTATCATCAAATCTTGGTTTTAAAACCTTGGCTGTCACAATTTTGAAGGCCTTTTGTTCTTAGAACAATTATTACATGTGGATGTGGCAATGGGCTTTTGGCTAATGAGTTTGGCAGGTGGGGAGGGGAGTTGGGGTAGTAACCAGGATTTTGCAGTGCCAGCCCTGGGCTTGGCAGGTGGGGAGGGGAGTTGGGGTAGTAACCAGGATTTTGCAGTGCCAATCCAGGGCTTATACAGTTTCCAAGTACTTTTTGGTCCTAAAGAACTAAAAGCACAATGGAATCAGGAGAAAATGGGAATGTAACCAGGGGCTTATAAGTGGAATTTTGTGGTATGTAGTAAAAGCTGTGAATTATGGTGTTAACATGGGTTATTTTCTCAGTCAGTTGTGGCACCAAACGGCCTGATTGCACACATGTTTGGCCCAATAGAGGGACGTCGACATGACGCATTTATGCTTGGTGTAAGTGGACTGACAGACAAGCTTAGCAGATTCCAGACACCCACAGGAGAGCCATACGTTGTGTATGGGGACCCTGCCTATGGTTTAGCACGCAACATCATTGGACCCTTTCGTGGAGCCCATATTGCTGATGATGAACAAGCATTCAATACAGCAATGAGCAAAGTCAGGACATGTGTGGAGTGGGGCTTCGGTAAAATTTGTCAAAATTTTGCCTACTTAGACTTTAAAAAAAATCTCAAGGTTTTGCTGCAGCCTGTTGGGAAGTATTACTTAGTGGCAAGTATCTTAATTAATTGCCATACTTGCCTGTATGGGTCACAAACCAGCACATTTTTTGACCTTGATCCCTCTTCATTGGAAACATACCTTTCTAGTCTCTAGTGCAAAAAATTTTTTTTTACCATTACCATCTTTTTTTGGTTTTGTAACCAAGCTTGAAATGGCAATGCATAGTGGGCCTCCCCATGCTGTAATTTTGAGGAGGCAGCTTATAAAATGGAAAATCTTTAATGAAATATACTGAAAAACAAATAAACAAGCTAACAAGTCAAGTTGAAGGCTTTTTGCTTGAAAATCATCCATCAAAAAATCTTTTAAGCAAAGATCAAAGCCAAACCAGCCCATACAGCCTCAGATGTCTTGCACTAATTGGCAACCATAAAATGCACTACTGAGTCTGCAAATTTTGCTTGCACCTCATGTTTGCATTGCTAGAGAGAACCCAGCTATAACCCTGTCTGAGCAAATGTAGAGTAAGTAAACAAATCATTATACATAACTGTAACCAGGGCTTGACACTGACGATAGCCTTCTAGCCTTC